ACGTTTTATGCCTTAGAGATATTGTTTGAAATTTTTTAGTTTTTGAGGGTTAAAACAGACGGGTTATTGTTTAAACGGACAATATTCCGGACAAACTTACAATATTAGTGGCTCTGGCGACTCACCTTTGGGGAAGATGGCTTTCACGGGGGCCGAGACTCCCAGGGAGAGGGAAGAGTCAGAGGGGTGGCAGTGAGGGTACAGGCGCATTTACAGCAATTCGTGGTTTGATTAGAAGGACGAAGAACAAGCATCAATGTTAACTATTAATAAAAACACTTTTCCATTGTTGCCTCAGAATTGAACTTTTCTTCTACAAGTTTAAATTCCAAAGCATCGATTCATAGCACCACAAAACAATGCAGTCAGTTCACCAGTCCTTGCAGACTACTGCGGATCTGCATTACTGTCGATTTACCCAACGTGAACAACTTTCTATGTATTAGGAGTATCCTCAAAATATGTATTTCCGTCAAAATATCGACATGGTTTTTTGTAGCATTTTAATCATTTTCTATACAATTCCCGAGAGAAAATAAAATATACTACCTATATTAATAATGAGATACTCCTTTGAATGCAATTTGAAAGCTCCTTTGAAACAATGCGCAGTAGTTGTTTTCTAATAAATTGAGTAAAACATAGAAAACATTTGTTTTGGGATTTGGAATGTCTCCCATGCTTTCGTATATCCACCACTTCCACAAAGTTGTCCCTCATAAGAGATACTGCATCTGATGTGGTACTCACGTTTCTTTCTTGACACTGAAGGGCATCAAGATATTTTCAATGGTCGAACGATTTCAGAAATCAAAATCCCGAATTTCCCTCTGACTTGCAATCGCCGCTGTAGACGACCTTTCACTTTACTCACAAAAGTTCAATTGTCAACAGTGGCGAATCTTTGCATGTTTACCTGTGTGCATTACCCAAATTGCGACCGTGTACATTCTTTCTATACTTCTTTTGTGCCCTCCAGTTAACCAACGACTTTGGTAATCCCGCTATTCTAGTCCTAGTATAGTGCCGGATTAGTGAGAGCCGCCTGAATAGGTTTCGAATACGGTGTAGATAAGTAGGAGTACTAAAAAGAGAACATTCGTCCGTGAATAGCATGAAAAAATGTAAATGAAGATGAATGACACAAATTCCATTCTCGCAAAATTGTTTGACTTTTCTAAGAGTCACTTGTCACTTTTCGAAAATTGTAAAAGTTAAAAAAAATATTTCGGCCTATAACTATTACGATATTTAAGATAAATTTTTTTTTCTTTAATGAAATTTGTTCTTTACAGATAGGTCTCAAGATAAAGTCATGTAAAATATTTCGAAAATATGAGTAAATTTTGAGTGAAATGTTTAGTAGACAATGTTTGATAATAATTTTTCAAAAAGGCTCCGATTGTTTTTCTTTAAACTTTTTCTTCGTAAGAAGCAAACGTTGTTAAAAAATGGTCCTGCTCCATTTTCGGCAAACTCTGTCTTTTCAAAAATTGTAAAAGTTAACACTACAATTTGTACAAAATAGCAAAACGTTATGTACATTTTTTTAAAAGAGCAATTTTCAAGTAATTTCTGATTGAAGTTAATGCAATGTATAAACAAAAGCATTTTGTCAAAAATTGCTCCAATTTTTACTTTAAATGTTTCCCAAGAATAGAACGAGGGAGGCTTAAAAATGGCGTGTGTCTCATTGTCGTTGAACACTGAATTTTCGAAAATTGATAAAGATAAATAATGCGAGAAAGAATGTGCTGTTGTAGTACCTCTGGTTCAGCCAAAGATTGCTTTCATAACCGAACTAACTTGATTTTCTATCAAACTATCTCGCAGGAAGTTCACGACCTCCTGATCTGTGGAATAGATAGTCTATCATCATCATGTTTGAAGACATGGTAGGCGTTTAATCTCTATTGTAATGATTAGTGTAAGCGGAAGCTTGTGTTATAGTCTCTGCGCCATTTTCTGGCATTATAAACATTTCGTATCATTTGACGAAGTTAAAATGTTTTAAAAAGACAATTGTAGGAGGAAACTGATAATTGGAATGATGAAAGACATTTATTTATAGATGGAAAGGAAAAGAAAAATCCTTTTATATGTAGATTCCAGCAAAGGCAAGAAAGAGAACAAGTCAAATATTACTAACAAGAACGATGATTTCGTTTTGCGAAATGAAAACTACCCCGATTGATAGCTACTGAGCAGCAATTTACTAAAAGTCTTTCTGAGCAGCAACGTAATCGTGTCTGTTATGTCTTCCAAACGCTTGATTATCTGAAACTTTCTGAGAAACTCTACAACAAAAACTCACGATTTCTCATCTGCTTAGAGTGCGGCTTCTTCTGCTGCTGATAGAGTGAGTAATCGTGGATCCATTGCAATCCACTTAAGAGTCAAAATTTGATCTACTCCCCAACGTTTCGCCATATGAGGTTCCAATGAATTTGTTATCAGTTCTTTTACCTGTTTATATCGTAAATATGCGAGCAGGAAAATATAAATGGATTCGATTGTATTTATTAAAATCATTAATACATTCATTCTAATGATTACTTGTATTAACAATTATTAGAACAAAGCATAACACAATACTCAGTAAAAAGAATTGATTTGACTTTATGAAAAATGAGAGTTACATGATCGCTCAGATTCGTTTTTTTTTTATTATCAGGAACTGATCCACATTAGGAAAAAGAGAAAAACAATACAATTTACAAGATAAACAAGTTTGTTTTCCAAGACGTGAATAAATGTTCTATTTGAAAGTAGTTTATAATATCAATAAAAGTAGTCCGAGTTTTAAATCAACTTTCGTGAAAACAATCTCGGATTCACAGGGACCCAATGGATCAAGATTCAGGGTGTCAAATCGGTCTTTTAGCCCTAGTTTGTAATTTATAAATAGTTTTATCTTTCTTGACTCCCTTTATTGAAAGTACATTGTTCTTCAGAAACTCTTTGGCATCTCAGTGTCCTTATGGTCAAATGGTTTCCGGACCAGAAAATAATCCGGAAGTTTTGTTTTCCCACATTTCAATGTTTTTGGGGCATGCTGAATTCTAATTTGAGGATTGCCCCCTCGATAAATGTCGGCTTCACAAATAAAATTATTTTGAAGATAATTTTGCTCATGATATTTGAGTTATATGGAATTATTTTATTCGTATATTTTAGATTCTCAGATTTAACTTCATTAAGACAATATCAAGTCGGCCCCTTCCATAGGAATATTCTGGTTGGGCTACTTGTTATATTAATTAAATGCAACAAGATTGAAACTTGTTTTCAGAATGAAATAAAAGCCTGCAATTATTAATTACTTATTATGGGAACTAATAAATAAATATTATCTTAAAAATACAAAATAGCATTTTCTAATTATTAGGAATGCGTATGGAATTTTAGACTATGCTCCGAATAATATTAGAAAGAGATTGTTCCTGGTCGCATGGTAACATGCGTACCGCAACCTAAGCTACAGCTTCAGGGTTTGTACAATGTTGTCACCTCAAATTATAAAACAAATACATCGCATGTCTCGGATGTTGTTAAATAAGTTAAGCTCCATTAAACGTCAAAAACATGGATAGTTGCGATTAAGGTTTTTTCGATGTAGCTCGCCCCCTTAGCGGGAATTGAGATTAGCATTTTCTGTTAATTTCTTATTGTTAGTTGGCTATGAAACTGGGGTAGAGCGCTTAGTACAAGGCAATTCTGTCCTCTTCCACACTCAATTGTCAAACACTTCCAAATTTTCTTCATATTTTACATTTATTTACGAAAGAAACGTGATAACGATTTATGGAATTTGTTTCCAATTGTGATGACAAAACGTGCTATACATTTACATAATTCATTTCTCCAATCAATAGAAATAATTTATAACGGCTGATTTTAATTGGAAATAAATATTTTTTATTTGATGTATTTTAAAACATACTTCGGAGTCCCAAAGTTGGCAAGTTGCTTCAACAGCCCCCACCTCCAACTTGTGGACGCCAGTAAATATTATAGTGTATTACTGTATCGAGGGACTTGACATACGACCATGGTGCAACATCATGTTGGTGGCACTGCACCTTAAATATGTAATAAAAAAAATAAAATACTATATAAAATAAAAACTCACTATTGTGTTTAAAATTGCGCTACACCAGCATTTTTCGAACACAGAACGTTGTTGGTTATATCTTAACATAGATTCTCAGAGGTTGAAAGACAGTTCTATCTCTATAGACGTAATTGTACCGTAATTTTCAACACATATAAAAGTTTTATTCGAAACATAAAGTACCCTCTGTGCATATGCAATGTTATTTACCGTGAAGCCAGTGACAGATCCCGAAGGGAGGGGGGAGTTAAGGAGTTAAGGGGAATATATCCCCTCCAAATCCAACAACGCAATAGGTCTACAATATATATATATATATTATATATATATATATATATATATATATATATATATTCTATCGGGTTACACATGGGCTCCGTAAAATATGCGTATTTATCTCCGCAATTATTTCTGCTTCACAAACATCTGCTCATTCTATATTCTGAGAAAGCTGTGTACAAGAATCTGTAGACGGGGTTTGACCATTCATGTGGACATTCCGATGGTCATTCTATAGAAGCGCGGTAGCCTTACATTCCTTGTTATAGAAAGATGATTCCTGTAAGACGTATTGTATCTTAATGTTCCGTTTCAAGTATAAATTTATTAAAATGTAATGAAAAATGTAAGAAACGTGTAGGTAAAATATGTAAAAAATGTAATAATACCAAAATATATAAAAATATTATTGAATGCAGGTATCTTATTCCTGTAAAAATATGTATTTACGTGAAACTCCGTTCCCTACTCGTAACGTTTTTTCGCTACTCTCTGCAAAAACTATTGTGACGTTATATGTCAAATTCCCCACGTTCTGTCCGGGGAACCCCGTACCGCCGCTCGTTTAGTGTCGACGGTCGCCGCCGCACGCCGCGCTGTTCGACTCACTCTCGCACAGAATCGCGAAGACGGAAGACGGCATGGAGCTTCCCGCTGGCTGTCCAATCCTCTTCACAGCCTTGCTTGCTGTCAGCTTGATAGTTGCTGTCAGTGGCCGTAAGTACATTAACACGTGACATGATTTTCATAGAGCTCAATAGAAGCGATCTTTTCGACTAATTTCCGAACGATACAAAAAATTATGAAAATAATGCTTTTTGAAATTGGGCAGCAAAGCTCACTTAGCTCACAGCCCTTTAGAAGCAACGCATTTAAAAAATAATTTTTAGTCTCCCACGTTATTAAATTTGAGGTACATTGGTAATACGTGCTTCCGGACATTGTTTTGCATATTCACACATAAATTTGCTATTATCATAATACAAAATGTTTAAATTTTACAAATCTAGATAGTAAATAAAGCAATTTTGATTGCTAATTAACTTTTATTCATTTCACTTTTTTATGATGAGATATGTGTTTCCTTTACTCTCAATTATAAGAAAAGAATTTGCCTCTGTGGTCTACCGTCTCGTTTCCTGTTGTCTCAGGAAGCAAAGCAAAGGAACGAACCGCATTTTCTGATATACTGCAGTGAGATAAAGGCCTATGCAATTTCGTAATTCTCAGTCTGTTTCCATAATTTTTTTACTAAACGTTTATTTACAATTGTTCATACATGACAACAATAAGTGAATTTTTTGACTTAATAATTAACATTGATTGAAGAGGATTCTCAATGGTATTTCTCCATTTACATAATTGATACACGTACAAGTACACTGCAAACTTTGCGAGACAAATCCAGAGGCTTGAATTTTTTTATGACGTCCTGTTTCTTAACCGTTATCTAACAGATTTATGGCTAAAGTGTTGGTATGTTTTAATTAAATTTGTGTACTTCAAGTTTTACAGCGCACTTTTTGATATGATAAAACAAACCGTACATATCAATGGATTTAAATTAACTACCATGATTATATAATAGTTGTAGTTCAATTTATTTTCACAACTTGCATTATATTTGTACATGTAATTTGTAACAAATTAAATTAATAATTAAATGACAGATTCTATATACTTGTAGCCATATTTACCAAATAGAATGAATACATTGATGTCTTATATTGAACAATTTTCCTCATAATTTAACGAAATTTTCTTATGTTTCACTTCTGTGCTTTGTCTAATTTTACCTAATTTTATTTTACAGAAGAGGATATCTGCCCAGGGGTAATATCACGTGAGAAATGGGGAGGCAGAGTTCCGAAGAGAATCGATTATATGGTGATTCCACTGCCGTATGTCATTATCCAGCACACGGCCACTCCAAAATGTACAAGTATGGAAGAATGTACAGATCGTGTGCGTAGTATCGAGGCGGACCACATGAACAACAACGGTTGGGACGACATCGGACCGTCGTAAGTTTTCAATCTAAGGAAGTTAAGAGATTTGTTCCAGTTATTTTCAGCATTTCACATTTACAAATGAGTTCGCACTCAGGGGTAGATTCATGCAGTTTAAGAACTTGTATTTAGCATCCCCCCTGGATGGAACCCCCAATTGTTTTTTAAACTGGTATAAATTAGTGAACTAGTTTTAACTATATTTTATAATTAAATGTTGAAATAGAAAAGATAATAGCTATTTATCTTACTTATTTCAAATGTTCAATATTTTTAGGAGACCCCGTAGTGTGATCAAGGTTATGGCCCCGTAAGATCTGCCCCTGTAATAACTTATCTTGTTTCATATTTTAAAAAAATGAACCATCCTATAGTTAGTAGTAACTATTTACAACTAAATAAAATATAGCATAATCCGTAGAAAAACGATAGCTTTTGTGAACCTCATCTACACAATTTGAATAAGTATAAGAAGACGTACGTAATATATGATATAGTCAGCATCTATGGTAACATTCTAGGCGGATTATTTATTCTATTTTTTTTTTTTTGTTTCAACATTATCTTGAACAATAATTGCCCGAAAACTTGGTTTCAGTCCTTTTAACTTTCTGTCCTCCGTGCATCAACTACTAACAAGCATGTTTGTTAATTATTTACTTAATTGTCCCGTTTAATAATGTAGTACGGTGATTATTTAAATCTGACTTTAGCTATTATTGATGCGCATGACATTAAATCTCTCCCATAATGAAGTTCATGAGAAACCCACGGAGTTCAGATGCATCACGGAAGCGTGACTAGAATAGCGGTATATACCAGGGGGTGACCACAGCGCAACTCGCAAGCCTCATGCGAACCTTTCAGCAATCGTATGTGGCACCTGTGAGATTACTTTGAAAATAAGTAATTCTGGGCAAAGAGTCATTCCCATTTTAGAGACGATCTATTCGTTCGAGTCATTGTATTGAACAATAGCGTGCATTATATCTCCACCTCATGCTCTTGTAAAAAAATATCATTATAACTGAACTTCGGTTAACTTCATTTAACTAGTCACCTTTCAAACGAAAGAGAGGACTTCCGCGGCCGGCGTCACCTGCAGACGTTGCACAGTTGCCAATGTTGCGACCGACATCCTGTGATCTTCCTTTAGCTACCTTTCAGATTCCAAGATATTCGCAGCCAAATTTGACCGTTAAAAAAGCTCATTTTAATAACATTTTGTAATTCAAACATTTTGAGGTGTTCCGTAAACAATTAGTGAAAGTTATAGTTTGTAAATATTTTTTGCTCAGCCTTTTGTCTTATATTAATACTTTCCAAAAGTTCATTTAACATTACAAAATACGCGTGGCTTTTTCCAAACTCTCAAGACGGTGTCTCCCACCGCTCTGTGGTTGCTGGCCACCCCTGGCGAGGCAGGTCTGAACGGATGCGGCGGCGGGTGCGGGCCGCGCCGGGGCTTCACCGCGAACGTGCGCGCGCTGTGGGCCCAGCCCCGCCGCGTGAGTCAGCGACCGGCCCCTGCCGCGGCAGCGGACCTTTGCTGATGAGTTGTTCGTGCATTCCACCTACGTCACTGAGCGTCATGACCAGCAAATCACTCCGGCAGGCCTGAGATAAAGATATAAAGTGATGTAAAGTAGAGAATTGAACGATCATATTTCATTAAAATAATATTTTGGGGTCAGTATTTTTCTATTTTAAATAACACATGTAGTTGACACTTGCGCTGTGTTCACAAACTTTATATTCCATAACAAGTGAACTATGAAAGTGTCTCAGTTGTATGTGCTTTTAAATGATAACCTCATTCGTATTTTCGGACAATGCGGGTACTTTGAAAAATGTAGGAACGCGTAAAATTCAGGTAATCCACGTTGAAGTCGCCAATAAATAATACTAGACAGTAATAAATGAAGGAGGTGGCAATACTCCTAGCCCGTTTGAGCATGACTAACTGCCGCTCATCGGCATCATCCTGGGGAAAAGACGCGGTGTCAATGCCCCCGATCAAGGTTTACGCTGCAACGCGTTTTGCAAGTACGAGGAATGTCGTCTCAGCGACGATACGAGAAGTGACGAGGGAATTTGTCGTCTCAGCGACGAATACGAGGATATACTTAAGACTTACACGCGACATGAACTAACGTCTACTAAACTTCGGATTTTATTACGTTAGTTTTTGACGTTGATCAGCTGTTACGGTTCATTCAATCGGGAGATTAAAATCACACATACTGTAATGTCATCTAAGAGGCGCGGATCCACGGGAGGGAAATGAGGAAGATTCCCCTCCCAAATTTTTCTGTAACAATTAGTTAAATGTCACCGAAACTTTCAAGCAAAAATATTTCCGCATAAACATTATAACGAATAAAATTGTTTTTGCCAACAGA